GAACGATGGTTTTGTTTCCTGCCGACGGTAACTTCCACCGTTGCCAATAACGTCACCTCTTCAATAGAACTAACTCCTCCTCCAAACCATGCAGTTTGTTAGTTCATTTGACTTTGGGTGCACTTGCGACTTTTATAACCAATTATTGAGTTTCATCGATTAGCTGTGCAAAAAATCTTAATCTCAGAGGTGATTGGCAGGTAGTCGAGCAGCGTTTCTAGATTTGACCGATTCCGCTCTGCCGTATTTAGTGCCGGGAAAGTCATCTGACGTTCAGTGTAAAGTCGAACGGTGGCGGCTGCTTTCGGCTAGCACATTTCGACAGAGTTTGACGGTCGCGTCCGTTTCCGCAAGTACCCTTAGTTTACTCGGCTTGATGACCTTAAAGGCGTTGTCCTGGCTTCGTTCTGGACTTGAAACAGCTAATGGGATTCATTCATTGATTTTCATTAACGTACGCATCACAGGTATCGGCTTAGGTGGTTTGTACCCGGCATTTGTCCGAATTCGCCGAGTCTTCTTTCGTTCGACAAATTCGCTTTTCGGTAGAACGCTCTCACTTGTCCACAGTAACAAGGTTCTCTAGGAGGAGAATCGACTTCGAGTCTTCGAGTTCCAGTTCAATTCTGTGCCCTCAGTTGCCATCCCGTTTCCCATGTCATGACGTTTACCTTATGCTGCTGCCAAAATCGATGGCTGGTAGTCGGTCGAACAGCAATTTCCTCCCATGTGCGTTGACATCACCATTTTGTCCCTCACCCAGGTCAGGGTCCTAATGCATAACACCGCTGTCCTAGGTCCCGTGTGCTGGTGTGCTGGTCTACATGCTAACTTTTTTTTTTAAATGTGCGTGTGTGCGCAGGGGGTACAGATCGTGAGGTCAAAATTGAACGAGTACGCTTTCCCCACCTTTTACCATATACTCGTTAGGTTTATTTTCTTTCAGAAGCTTTAAACGTCGTCCTCTACGCTGTACACTGGCTACCGCGTCGTCGAACGAAATGCACTTTTGCGTTTCCGTTCACCTGTTGGCGCTCCTAACGCTGACGACTGTAACAATACACGGTGTAAATGGTATCCCGGCCGGTCGAGAGAAGGTAAGCACTTTTGTTCTGTCATTCTTATTAGGTTTCGTTCGATCAGCGAGTCGCAGTCACCACAGTGTTAAGCGTCCTGAATGGTGGCACACCACCGGTCCTTCAAAGGAAACGTCCACTAAGGCCATGCAGCGATGTGTGAAGCCAGGAATTCGATATCCCTGTTGAACCTAAGCGCTTCCTCCAAATCTAGCCACTACTGATGCTGTACATACGCCTTATGACCGTAATAAAAAATTGACTGATGAAATCTGAACTGCTGTGTGGAATAAGGTTATCTACGTTTCCAGCCTCCCAGCACTTCTTGCAGAGAGGAGGCAACGAACACTCAAGGGTTGAATCCAGGAACAGATACGGTCCATGGTATTTCCCTTAGTCGCGGATTGCTGTCGTTTTCCCACTGATTTCCGTACATGGAGGAACAAGGGAGAGACATATATTTTCGTCTGCAATGCAATATCCGGCGCCGTACAGTAAAGATGTTGAAAAGCTTAGGATACGGCAGCCGTGTTTGACTTGAGACATCCTGTACATGCAAACTGCTCAAGATGATGGTCTCAAAGAATTACAACAACTAGCATAAGCATGGGTCCTGTAAGAAAGACTAGTCGTTCTAAGTGATTTTCCAGGCGATAGGCCAAATGGCTTGTCAGACGACGGAACGACGAAACTGTGCCCCTGTAGACATTACCAGGTTGGCAGATTTTCCAACTTGGGAAATTTTCGAAAATGAGACGCCCTTCTTCTTCAGAGATAGTCAGAAACTGTTTTGTCGTGGGTGACTGACTGTTTCGAATGGATTAATAACAATAATACAGGCAAGAAATATTGCGGGCTTTTGCTGGCCATTATTACTTTCACCGCCCCCCCCCAGTCGTAAAAATGTCATCCAGGTTTAAGAATTTAATGAATATATTCGCTGCGTTGAAACAAACGGATGTGCTAAGGAAATATTTATGTCATTTGACGTCATAAATGCTTCAAGATGCGCCGCAGTAGCCTTGCAGAATGAAACTAGCAAATTTTTTTTAACATTTAATCAAATCATTACGTCATGGAATAATATCTTCCTATCCTGATTTTCATATTTAACATTAAAATTGATTGTTAATGCTTTAAATGCAAAACTTTTAACGACTTACTGTAAAAATGAACATTTATTTGACGTTTCGATACCTTTCTTATAGATTTTCTTCCGGATACGGTAGACTTGTTTGTGAAATATAGCTGTTGCAAATAGGACAATTTCTTGCGTAAGGAATATAAAATTTACTGCTGGCTTTGGTTCCCGGATGCAGGAAGCAGTCGGACCTATCTGCCTAAGTTTTCATGGAATACGACTATCAGTCTTTTCACGATTGTCTTTTTGTCATCATGATCTGTAACCGGAAACTGAGCAGTTGTCTGACGTTTCACACTGCGATACCGCAGAGAGGCGCTGAATGTGGCGAGGGGAACGTTCCTCTCCGCAAACCGTTCTCTGTTCACTTCCTTCATGAGCATGCCGTGCAGACCATTGTCCATATTGATCAGATATTCAGCCAACCAAACTTGTTTGAGTTGAACCCTTTGGCACACGATTGGTTGCCAAACCCCGGAAATAACAAATGAGCAAGTCAGACGTAACAAACAAGCGGTGACAACTTGAGTCAGTATCAAGCTGACCGTAGTTTGGTTCAAAATCACTGTTCTTCTTTCTTTGTATCGGCCAGATATGTCAAAGCGAATGGAACGACCGACCACCGGTAAGCGTCAGACCGGTGTCTGCAAGGAACACACTGGTTCTGTGCTTGACCACTTCAAAAAGCCCTGTTGAAAATATCATTAAATATTGCTACTCAGAGAATCTGTTGTTTTTACCTACCACCCGGTTAAGAATGCACTCAAACTGGTCAGCGCCACGATCACACAGTCGGCCAAGTAGTTTTTTTAAAGGCTCCGGATGTGAGCCGTTTGTTTTCTCCTGAGATGACCTTGCCA